GGAGTGACTGTGGTCCCGGGAGGCAGAGCCCTTCCCCGTCACCTGGAATGACTGTGGTCCCGGGAGGCAGAGCCCTTCCCCGTCACCTGGGGCTGGAGTGACTGGTCCCGGGAGGCAGAGCCCTTCCCCGTCACCTGGAGTGACTGTGGTCCCGGGAGGCAGAGCGCCTCCCCGTCACTTGGAGTGACTGTGGTCCCGGGAGGCAGAGCCCTTCCCCGTCACCTGGAGTGACTGTAGTCCCGGGAGGCAGAGCCCTTCCCTGTCACCTGGAGTGACTGTGGTCCCGGGAGGCAGAGCCCCTCTCCATCACCTGGAGTGATTGTGGTCCCGGGAGACAGAGCTCCTCCCCATCACCTGGAGTGATTGTGGTCCCAGGAGACAGAGCCCTTCCCCATCACCTGGAGTGACTGTGGTTCCGGGAGGCAGACCCCTTCCCCGTCACTCGGAGTGACTGTGGTCCTGGGTGTCTCTAGTCTCAGTGTTTGGTCATCTCCTTCATAGGAAAGTCAAGGAAGCCCTCTTGGGTGAATTTTAGAGTCCCCCACGTAACACGTGCTAGCTGTGACCCTCTCTACTGGCCATTACCAAGGTGAGAAAGGGCTCTCGAACGGCTTCTGTGTGTCCTCACCACCAGCAGCCCTTGGCTGGCCACGGGAGGAGGCATGCCCTCGGACTCCACTCTGCCTCTGGGCCTGGGTGTTTGTCTGGGCGCTGTGGCCCATGTGGACCCCGCAGTGTTCTCCACTGGGGTCTTAGGGGCTTCTCTCCACCTGTCAGGCTGTCTGTCTTCTTGGGCCACCCGGACATCAGCGTAGGGCCGGGGTGCTGCCCAGGGAGGACTCGGGGAGAGGAGAGGCGGCCAGTGGGGCCAGGGAGCAGCCGGCATCCTGGCTGTGAATGACCTGTGGGCTCCCTGGGTCCTGCGGGCAGCCAGCACAGTGAAGGGGGAGGGGAAGCCTCTGCGTGGATGTCAGGCCCCTTAGGGTGCGTGCTGTGGTGCGGTTCCACCTTCTTCACACGTGTGCATGTGCAACTTTGGTGGGCACTTGTTTTGAGAGTCGTCTTTTTTCATCTAATTTTTGTCCACCCTGTGTTAAGCTTCTGGCTCTGTACTTCCTTATCTTCATTCCAACTCAGGTTCGTACCCAAGCCCAGACATATCCATACACACCTGCACATGCGTGCACACACACACACACACACACAGGCCTACACAGGATTTAGGGGGAAATGGCTGCTTGACTCAGACGGGGCCGTATTAGATCTATTTCTTCCATTCCTTTTTTCACTCATTAATACCTGGTGAAAATTACTAAGTTGAGACTCTGTCTCCAGGAAACAATATATACATGTATATATATAATTTTTGTCAGAGGCGGGCCTTGCTCTGTGGCCCGGGCTGGAGTGCAGTGGCGCGGTCACGGCTCATGGCAGCCTTGACCTCCCGGATTCAGATGGTGCGCCCACCTCAGCCTCCCAAGTAGCCAGGACCACGGGCAGGAACCGCCACACGCAGCTAAATGTTTTCTTTTCTATTTTGCAGAGGCAGGGTCTTGCTGTGTTGTCCAGGTGATCACAGGCAGGAGCCACCACACCCAGCCAGAAAACAGATTTTAAGGCCGTTCGATCTCATCCCCGTGACTGTTAACATCCTGTTGGTTCTGAGTTTCCCCATCACGTTGTTACCCATTTCCATTCTGAAACATGGCTGTCTCTTTACTATGCAGAATTCTAAACTACTGAAAAACTGTTTGGGTGCTGAAATTCATACTCTCAGTCCTGAACCCACGTGGGTGGTTCAATCTAGACTCTTTGACACTGCTTTTTTTTTTTTTTTTTTTCCCCTGGAGGCAGAGTCTGGCTCTGTGGCCCAGGCTGGAGTGCAGTGGCGTGCTCTCAGCTCACTGCAACTTCCATCCCCCTCCCAGGTTCACGTGATTCTCCTACCTCAGCCTCCCAAGTAGTTGGGACTACAGGCGCACACTGCCACGCCTAGCAAATTGTATTTTAGTAGAGCCTGGATTTCACCGTGTCACCCAGGCTGGTTTCGAACTCCTGAGCTCAGGCAACCTGCCTGCCTCGGCCTCCCACAGAGTTAGTATTACAGGCATGAGCCACCACGCCCGGCCGACAGTGCTTTTTAATTGTATTTATGTTAGACTGTGTGGGGTGACATTGTTTTTCAACTTTATTTTTGTTAGGCTGTGTGGATGTGGGATGTTTGGTGGCATCTGCTCTTCATTTGTAGTGGATTTGTGACAGTGACGGAGTGTGGAGCTTACTGTGTGACACTGTGGTGGCTGAAGAGGGCATTTTCACCAGCACCCACTCTGCAGGGGGCAGCCAAGCCCCATGGGTGTTGAAGGACTTGCTCCAGGCACTCTGCAGATGAGGGTCAGACTGCGTGTGCCCTCCCCTCACCCCTCCCACTGCCAGGCTGGACTGCAGTGGCACAAGCACGGCTCCTTGTGGCAGGGCACACGCTGTGCCACCCCCAGAAGGCCTGCGTCCCTTCTCCTGCCTGGGGCTGAATACTTCCTTCCTTGCCCCTCCCTGTTGCCGAAACCACCGTAGATCGTCCGTTTACGGCTCTTTTCAGAGGCAGTTTTATCTATCAGGTTTTAAAAGTATATTCCAGCTCATTAATTTTTGCCTTTTGTAGGTTGCTTGCTTTCCCTGGGAGGAGGGGGTTTATCATTCCCAGTGCCTGGAGCCGGTTGATTCAGTTATTTTCTGAGTCGTCTTCTCTGCTAATGAACACCCACTGGAGGTCAGCCACCCCCTTCCGGCCGCGTCCCTGTCCCACCTGTCATCTCAGACCCCTTGACTGTGGTCGATGATGGGGCTTTATAATCAGTGCTAATGTTTCTGGACTGAGGGCTGCCGGAAGGAAAGCTTCGAAAATGCCGCGTGCTCCGGGCTTTGCAGGTTACGTTTTGTTTAACTCTGACTTTATTACACAGTGGTCAGTGTGGCCTGAAGTTTGTTCTTGTAATTATTAAAAAAAGAAGTTAGGCATGTACACGGTGAGTTAGGTTGTATTAAACAACTGATAACGAACAGAAGGACCGCGTTACCAGTTCCCGCCCAAAACCCTGTTCTCCAGACGACCCTTTCATCACGTCCAGCACGCACTTTGGTATTGGGCTCTGTCTGTCTGACAGGTTTATATGGATTCTTGGCTTTTCACTTTTAGACATCATGTATACACGTCCTCCTGAGAATGACAGGGATTGCCCTCACACACCCCCACGTCCTTCTCACCATCATCATCTCAGCATAGCTGTCACAAATACGATTTTTATTAGTTTAGTAGTCTTTACGGTATCATGACTGTGTAAATATTGTGACTGCTGAGCCAAATAGTGAACTGTAATAACCCTTTTTCTAATAGTTCTTCGTTTTTCCTGGAGTCCATAGTTGCCTCTTTTTTTTTTTTTTTTTTTTTT